CCCCTGATTTTGGTAAAGCCCGCCCTTAATCCTTATTTTTGGAAACGCACTGGTTGTGGAAAAAGCTGACAGGAAAGCCTGAAACCCTAAACCCTGAAACCCTAAACCCTAAAAACCTAAACCCTCAACCCTAAAACCCCAAACCCTAAAACCCTCAACCCTAAAACCCTAAACCCGAAAACCCTAAAACCCTAAACCTCTCTAAACTTGCACACAAGCCGGTGCGATTCTCTTAGACCTTCAGCCGACTCCTCCAACCCAAGGCACAGGCTGAGAGTTGAAAAATATCATGGACTGGGATGATAGGGTTTAGGGTTTAGGGAGTAGGGATAGGGTTTAGGGATTCGGGATTAGGGATAGGGTTTAGGGATTAGGGATTAGGGTTTAGGGTTTAGGCTTTAGGTCCCTCAGGCCTGCTTTCGTCGACCCTACGATGCACCTCATCGGGGTTCACTTCGAAGCTGTGTCCTTGATTGGCTCCTATTATCATCTCGCCCTCAGTCCTAGCCAGGCGGTACCGATGCTTGTCGTTCCAGTAGACCGCGCTGATGACATCATCCATGGTCATGTTCTGTTTCTTGAGTATGGGGAGGCGCAACAGGTCAGCAACTTTTCTATTCATGATCTTGTGCATATTCTGTTTACCTTATCTAAAAAATTCTGATATCGAAGCTGATAACCATTCCTATCTTTTTCATTCAGGGTGCTCCCAAATCACCATCACACATCCTTCCATGCTATCTAGAAGCACGTCCAGATTTGGGTCGACAAGTTCAGAATTGAACCTTTAGAGTTTTGCCCTGCAAGTTTTAAATGTCTGGCCTTACTCGACTTGAGGCAGCAGCCCGAAACAACTGAGTTTAGGGCTTACAGTAAACCCTAGACCCTAAAGGCCCTAAACCGCTAAACCCCTAAAACCAGTCATAATTTTTCCCAGTTTATTTTCCACTATCCATATATAATCCGAACATTACCCCAATGCGTAGCTACATCCCCGGCTTAGGGCCGCTTCGGCTTCAGGATCCACCTTGAATCTTTAGCTTAAATGATTGAGGTTTAGAGCCTAGGAATTTAGGGTTTCGGGTTTATGTTGTAGGGTTCAGGGTTCCCTAAACCCTAAACCCTAAACTCTCAGGGTTTAGGGGTTAAGGTTTGGAGCCTAGGAATGAAAGTTTGGAGGGCAACAGCCCTTTCTCATATGAAGCCCTACACCCTAACATGAATCCGTACGCAGCCCCATGTAAAACCCCAAACATAGCCAATAGTACTTCCTCATGGGCCCTGTAGAACTTATCTATATATGTATATATATATGCCTATCTATCTATCATCTTTATACACTACCCCTAAGCCCCGGTCCTAATTGGATCGGTCCCTATAAAAAGTTTACATGCCCTCCGACTGCGCACGCTGTTCAGAATTCCAGCGGCTATACGGTTCTCCCCATCATGAACTCAATAAGTCTGTGCAAGAACAGAAACTGAGCGTACCAGAGTTAAAATATCAGCAACACACCGTGAAGCAACGCAATTGTACCCAAAAGTCACCCGCCTATATCAAGCTTATGTAATCTTATCATCCTATACACTATGAGGTGTGCTCTACTTCAGCAAGCTACAATCACCACAACTACACAACGCTAGAACCCCTGTATGTCCCTAAGGATCCCACATAACCTTATACTCCCTCTGCATCGCTATATTAGCACAGAATCCTATACATCCCTATACAACCCCTACACCCCCTAAACTCTAAACCCTAAACCCCTGATTAAGGTTTGAGACGCTTCCGGGTGCCTGAGTCAGAGCAGAGACGCAAGCGCTGTTGAGCAGAAGGAAACCCTGCAGGCCCATGAACCAGGACCTCGCCAAGTGGAGTTTTCCAAAATTAGGGGTTTAGGGTAGCAGTCCCAATAACAGGGACGAAAATATTTTGGGGTCCATATTGGTGCCCCCGATTTTGGGGACCTTGCCAAGTGCTACCAGGGTTCAGGGTTGGGCTTTAGGAGTCAGGGATTTAGGGTTAAGGGTCAAGAGAGTTAGGGCTTAGGGCTTGATTCCAGCTAAACCCTAAACCCTAAAAGGGGGTCTGGGATGTAGGGCTTAAGGATGCTAACTTGCTGACCTCTAGGCCTGGAAGCAACTGAGGCTTCTAGCCCCTCTCATGATGAACCCGCATCACCCCCTATCCTGCATATCCTCCCTATTTTGCACTGGTACTATGTCGAGAGAACTGGTTTTGGGGGGAGTGGAGAGGTCTATGATTAGGTGGGCGGGGTCAACACGGAAAGCCTGCACGACTGCTGTCATCCGGGCATTCTGCTAGGGATACCCTAGAGTTTGGGATATCCTGAACATGTTGAAGGAAGGTGTTGCCTATTTGAAGCTCCTACAAACAGCTGAACATGATTTTCTAGAAGAGCTCTGGGGCAGATTCGAGCAACCGGACCAGCTGAGCACGCCGAGGCCCCAAAAGCGCTAGAAAAAGAAGCTCGCAGGCTCTGAACCTCACACTCCCAGAAGCATTGCGAACTGGTTCATGTAATCCCCTCCCCCTAATAACAACCCCTCACCCGCCTAATGTCTGCATGCAGAATCCCTGCGTGCTGCTGATAGAGGAAATGGTAGTTTCCCAAAGTAGAAGGACCG